TGGGGGACGGCTTCCCGGGCAAGGAGACCCGGCAGCAGGTCGGCGACGAGGCGCGCGCGCTGCCCGACGCCGGCAAGTTCGCGGACGGGCAGCTGGTCAGCCAGAAGAGCGACTCGTCCAGGGACATCCGCGGCGACCGGATCACCTGGGTCGAGGGCAAGGAGCCCGGCTGCGAGACCATCGGGCTGCTCGTGAGCAGCATGGACGACCTGATCCGCCACTGCGACGGGAAGCTGGGCAACTGCAAGGTCAACGGCCGGGCGAAAGCCGTGGTTGCTCGTTATCCGGGCAGTGGAACAGGTTATGTGCGTCATGCTGATAATCCAGATGGAGATGGAAGGTGTGTGACCTGTATATATTATCTTAACAAAGACTGGGATGCCAAGGTAAGTGGAGGTATACTTCGGATTTTTCCAGAAGGCAAAGCCCAGTTTGCTGACATCGAACCTAAAGTTGATAGACTGCTGTTTTTCTGGTCTGACCGTCGCAACCCTCATGAAGTACAACCAGCATATGCTACCAGGTGAAAAAGGTGTGAGGGTTGAGCTCGATAAACCTTCTGATTCAGTCAGTAAAGACGTCTTATAGAGCCTTTGAACCAGCAATACTCCCACTTCACCTACAGTAATTGTTGATGCTATGTGTTGACTTGTGAATACAAATAAATGGGATAAAGAAACAATAGAGAGCCAACTGACATTTTAATAAGAAAACAGAAACAACTTTTTGTGTGTTGCATCAAACAGAAAATTTGACTGCTGTGACTTTGTACTGCATGATCGACTTCAAATCTGATTACTTATGGGAAGAAGATAAGCTATCAACTGAAAATGGTTTTTACATCTGGACATGAAATAAGTGCCCTATGTAGAATTTTTTTCATTCTTATATTTTGTCAGATCTGTCATCTAGCTGAGTTCATTTCATCTCTCCCTTTTTTATATCAAGTTTGAATTTGGGATAATTTTTCTATGATTAGGTACAGTTTAAAAAACTGTATTAAGAATTACAGTATTGTTCCTCAAAATAACATCAATCTATTTTTGTAAGCCTCTTTGTACTATTAAATTTGGCCCTAAAAGACCTCTTAATAATGATTATTGCCAGTGACTGATGATTTTCTTTTTACTTAAAATAAGAAGAGAAGCACTTGGATTACAGCTGAAAAATCAGATTGTCTTGTAGTCCTTTCTTACACGAATTTGAACTTTTAAAAATCACTGTTGTCTTTCTTTTGGCATTGTTAATAATGAAACCTAATAGTAAAACAGTCATCATTTACTACCAAAAAAAGAAAAAGAAAAGGACTGACAGTGGTGGGAAACTATAGGGGGGGAGGGGAAAGGAGGTGGAATTAACGGTAGTAATATCTGTCTGGGGGTGGGGAAATACCCCTTATCAACAAGGGTGCCTGAACGAAGCATATTTGTATACCTAACCCTTAATTGTACCCCACAATATCAAATAAAAAATATTGATATAAAAATTTTAAAAAATTGTACATATTCATGTATCACATAGTGATGTTGCAATACATATAATGTATAGTGGTCAGATCAGGGTAATTAGCATGTCCATCTCAAACATTTATTATTTCTTTGCATTGGGAACTTTAAATATCTCCTTCTAGCTATTTGAAATGATAAATTATTGTTAACTATAGTCATTTTACAGTGCTATAGAACATAAGAATTTATTTCTCCTATTTTGGTGTAGCTTTGTTTTCTTTAAGTTTCTTCTTATTCCCCATTCTCCTACCCTTCCCAGCCTCTAATATGCTTTGTCAGACTTTTTTACATCTGTGAAATAAAAAAACTTTTTTTTTAACTTCCATATATGAGTGAGAACATGCAGTGTTTAACTTTTTGTTTCTGGCTTATTTCATTTAACATAAGATTCTCCAGTTCTGTCCATGTTGCCATGAATGACAGAATTTCATTCTTTTTTTAATGGATGGATAGTATTTCATTGTGTACTGTATTTTCCTGATCAATTCACCTGTGTTGGACACCTAGTTTGATTCCATATCCTGGGTTTTTGTGAATAGTACTGCCATAAAGATGGAGGTACAGATATCTCTTTAATACGTTGATTTTCTTTCTCTTTGATAAATGGGCAGTAGTGGGATTGCTGGATCATGTGGTAGTTCTGTTTGTGATTTTTTGGAGACACTCCCATAATATTCTCCATAGTGGCTGTACTAATTTACTTTCCAACCAATATTGTATGGGTCCCCCTATCTCTATATCCTTGCCAGCATTGATTATTTTTTGTATTTTTGATTACAGCCATCTAACTGCGATGAGATAGTACCACATCATGTTTTTCATTTGTATTTCCCTGTTGATTAGCAATGTTGAGTGTATTTTCATATTTTGGTGGTCATTTGTATGGTTTTTGTTTTTGAGCTAAATTTGTTCAAATCAGTTGCCCATTTTTAATTGGATTGTTTTTTGTTTGTTTTCGAGATGTTTAAGTTTCTTGTATATTATGGATATAAATCCCCGGCCAGATAGTTTGGAAATATTTTATTATTTTACGTTAATTAAGGTATATGATGTTCAACTTGCTCAGAAACACATGATGTTTTATGTGAAGAAATTAGCTAGCATAACTCCAAAATACTAAACATTTCCTCACTTTTTTGTTTCCTTTTTGCAGATTTTAAACATGAATGTAAGTTTCTTCTTTGGCAGATTCTTAAAAGATTTAAACAGACATTGAAAGACTTTAGTTCTTTAATTTTTCCTTTCTTTTTTTAATAACTACAAGCATTTGAATCAACATAATTCTCAGTCAAGTTAGCTGGAATTTTCATGCAAAACCCAGAGCCAGGTAGAATATTTAAAGATTCATCTCTATCCAGCAAGTAATTATTAATATACAAATTAGGTATGAAATACCTGCCTTACAGCCGGGCTTGGTGGCGCAGCCTATAATCCCAACTCTTTGGGAGGCCGAGGTGAGTGGATTGCCTGAGCCTGAGGGTTCAAGACCAGCCCAGGCAAATTAGCGAGACCTTGTCTCTACAATAAATTAAAAATTAGTCGGGGCGCGGTAGCACGGGCCTGTGGTTCTGGCTACTTGGAAGGCTGAGGCGGAAAGATGGCCTGAGCCCAGCAGGCCGACGCTGGGGTGGTCATGAGCATGCCACTGCACTCCAGGCTGGGTGACAGAGTGAAACTCCAACTCAAAAAAGAAAAAAAAGAAATACCTGCCTTGTACATGTTCATTTCACACTCTTCTATCCAAGATTGTCACTGCTAAAAGATCATATTGTTTTCTTCCTCACTGACTCCAGTTATGTCCTTACAATCTTTGGGAAGTTTTGTTTGGAGCCTAGGTTGAAATACAATTTTATTTCTAGAATAATTTAAAATAGAAAGCTCTCATTTTCCTTCCCTTCTCTTTTCTATGATTTCTAAAGATGGAAATAACATAATTTTCTCATAAATTCTATCTGACTTTTCTAACATATAAAAGTTATAGCTTCTAATCAACTAAAAAAATCCCACATTATATTAGCCATAAGTTCAGCAGTGTATTCTATGCCTCTTCATCAAAACATTTCCAATATAGAGATATTGATTTCCATATTAAATTGGCAAAGCAACATTAATTCTGAAATTTCATTCAGAAATCAATTCAGATATGTTATTTGTTTATGAAATAATGTAAAAGTATGGACTAAATATAAATAAACTGAGCTATTTAGGTCAAACAATCCTTGAGTCAGGACTTCAGGAATCACTGTATTGAATTATGTACCCTTTATTGAACTTTGCCATAGTCTCTGGAAATTTATAAACTTTGAAGCTCTTTACAAAGTTTTTGAATCGTTCTAAATTATACAAGTCTAACATGGGTAAGAGACATGTGATAATTAGTAGTCTCTTACCTATTGTAAAGTGAGAGTATATTCTTCTCTTTTTTCCTTAATTGAGCTACCAACAAAATGACATCACAACATGAGATAGTATCACTCTAGAAAATTGTGTTGTATGAATCATGTTTCACTTTGTATCTGTTGTTTTCCAACAATATTTCCGATGTTGTTTCTAAAATTATTAAAGAAAAACAAAAATCTACAATTTCATCTTCAGCGATCGATACTAAATAAAGCGTTACGTTTCTTATGACCTCAACAGACAAATTTCACCAACCAAAATCTAAGCTACAAAACAAAATTAGTAACTTAGACTGTCATGCCAATCATTACAATTCAGAAAATACTATTAAAATATCAATATATTTTACATTTAAATTGATTCTACTTATTTCCAGGGAACATGTTTTATCCCTATATACTTCTAATGCTCTTTATTTTTTAAAACAGTGGCAATATTAAAAAGTATTTGTTAATAAATAAATATTTTGATATATATTTCAGAAATACTATTAAAATATCAATATATTTTACATTTAAATTGATTCTACTTATTTCCAGGGAACATGTTTTATCCCTATATACTTCTAATGCTCTTTATTTTTTAAAACAGTGGCAACATTAAAAAGTATTTGTTAATAAATATTTTGATATATATTTTCTAAAAGTCAAATTTTAATGAGAAGTAAATAAAATTAATACATAATAATGATGACATAATGAATTAAACTATATTTAAACTCTAACAATATTATTTTGGTAGGTTCATAGTTTGTTAGAAATAATCTTGTGAAAAGTTACAAATTTTTTTTTAGTTGACACAATGGTTATGTTTTGATATTTCTTAGTTGGTTTCCTTTCTTTTTAATCAGAAAATTAACTTTTTAAAAACCCTGTTCACAAACCACTAAAGCTGATTTTGAAACTTTATCATTGGATCGATGAATTAGTTCAGCAAAAGTGATTTTCTTAAATGTCAACCTCTTTCATTCCTTACCTCAGTGAATTTTAGAGCTTATTTCAGTTGGGTTAAGCTTGGTTTATACCCCCATAGTTAGGATGAGTGCGGTGACCTTTTGTCATGTCACTGCCACAAGAACTAATTGGTTTATGTGCTCTCATTGCCTAATGAGAGACAATCCAGGAATAAATTGGAAGTGTAGCTCCTGAACAATCTAGAGGTGGGGTCGAGTCTTCCAAATTCCTGAGATTCTGAAAGAGTAGTAAGGCTACACAAATAATGAGTGTACTCCTTATGAAGGAACCAAGGACAGTAACTTATTCTGCTGCAAGAAAATGAGCGAAACCCTCAAAGACAAAGAGTTACCACACTTAAGACACAAAATTTCACTCCTAAACAATCTCTGAGATTATTTCAACTATAAACATTTGGGCTAATAGAGAAACCCTCTCATCTAGTACCTTATACCAGAGAGATATAGGAGTTCCCAGACTTTGCCTTAGATCTCTAAAAGGGTTTTGTTTTTTAAAGTATTATAAAGACATTAGAGGTGCCACGAAAAAGTTAATTATTTCAATTAACTAAGAGAGTCAGTAAAATTCCAGGAGACCCAGAAAGATTTAGAATCTTCCCCAGAAATCCATTTTGAACCTCAAAAAATTTATTTAATTTCATAGAAGATGGTAGTCTCAATAACATTGTGGGAACAAAATTGCCAAATTAACTATCTTAATTCTAAGGTCAGCCAATCACAAAATTTGGTGGCCCTCTACTCATATAAGCATTATCTCATTTTGTTTTTTTGGGGTTTTTTTTCCATAATACCCCAGTTAGGATAAATGTCTATGGCCGTAGCCTAATGCTTTTCCTAACTCTCCCAAATTTACCTGTCCTATATTATCTTCTTGGCAGTTTATTCTGTATCACTGTCTGTTACCAAGATAGCACATGCTAATGCCAATTAAGACAGCTGGGCTTCATTCAATTTTTTCTTTTCTGGTAATAAGTGTTTTATCAAGAAAGAAATTAGCTTTCAAATATCTCAAAAGTTGTAAGTGTGTATAAAATTATGTATTGATAACTATTTTTAATCATAAAATAATAGCTTCTTAACTTCACATATTGCTAGATATATATTATAAAGTGCTTTCTCATTTTGTAATTAGGCCCTTCAGATGATGATAAACACTTTATCTCTCCAAAATCAACGTGCTTAAACAATTGACTTAAAATTGAGGAGTATATACAAGGTCTGGAAATAAAAATGAGATACTCTGGGTTTTGGTTTTTTTATGAAAGTCACTCATCTAATTCTGTTCCTAATCTTTTCCTGTTTGCTTCCAAGAAATAATATGCCCCTCTATTTCAGAGCTGAAAAAGCCACCCCCCCACCCCCCGCACCCTCTTCCAGCTGCTGGTTCAGTCAGTGTTGAAAGTA